GGCGAGCAAATAATTTTAATAGACGTTATTATCCATATTCCTTTTGTTTATTTTTTAATCATGTATATTATTATTTTGTTGACCACTTATTGCTCAAATTTTTAGAGTAATGTTTGAAAATACGAATTTAAAAAAAAAACAAAAAAACGAGGGAAGAAATTCTCTAAAATTAATTTATATTGTCTACAAGTGAACCTGAACCAATAATAATTCATTTTCATTTTCTATGATGAAGTACACACTGTATTTGGCATACACGAAATATCTTTTAAAATCTGTTGATTGATAAATTGTTCTTTTCTCAACGTTCAGTGGCAAGTATTTCATGCAATATTAGGGACGTCTGAAATTTAATGTACAATAAATATGTTGCTCAGTGGGTCCTACAAAGTAAAAGATCTGTGATGAATGGTTGAAAATTGAGGTTGCCACTGGGAAAGGATGATATGTTGGATAGGAAGAGAAATCATTGGGTCACCTACTAATTTAACATCCCCATTTTGAATGAAAATAAATAATTAGATTAGTGCTTCAATGATGAAACGGGTATAAAATATAAAATGTATTGAAATATCTTTGGCAATACACGTATATCGGGTAACATTTGTGTACTTTTACAAAAAAAAAAATCTTCACTGAGAATTCAATCGCGGCATTTGAGCCCTAAAGACATTTTCCAGTTCTCTTCAATAAAGCGTGTATTGTGAATATTAATATTTCGCGTAATCAAGTATAACAGTTACCTTTTCTATGTTTATTTATTAAGAATGCGATTATTATATGAGAGATGAATGAAAAAGACGTTTGACAAATTTCTCGAAAGTATGCAACATTTTACATGAAAATGACGAACTAGATAATTAGTAAACACGTTAAATAAGTTGGTTTTATAGTACTAACAAGCTTATGATCCTGTATCATTTTTTGACATCCGTTTTAAGTATACAAATAATGCATTTTATTCAGTTTGCTTCATTCCCGCCAAAATCATCATTTTGGCGCCGTCTTTTGACGTTGTCAGTGCCCCTCAGTATTGTGACGTTACCATGGACCTTTGACGTTCTACACAATCAACAAGATTTGTGTGTAGAAGCCATAAATGTCCCTTTGGCAGCAAGAGGGTTAAAGTGGGGGTTCTGTTCGGCTATGGTGGATGTAAATGTAAGCAGCCATGCTCAGTTAAACTGTAGATATCAAATCAGATACCTCGTGTAGAAAGTTTGTCACTATCTCTGCGTATTAAAACCTTTGTAGCAGTTCACTCTTTCATGGTGCCATCAGTAGTATTTTGGGAGGCAACATTTTTTTTTAATTTCCGCAACTTTTATTAAAACGGCCTCTATTACATAACGGAGATTGAAGTAGTTTCTTACTGAAGTCATAAAAAAATCGGTCTTTACTCGCTCTTAAATTTTTTAGATGAAAATCCCAACTAGTGCTAATCCCGAATAACCGTAAAAATTTAGGCCCAATCCAAAATTCCCGGAATAATAATAGAATCTACCGGTATCTACAGTATTTACTGATGTCGTTCAAATAATGCATGAAATATTTGGCACCGGACGTTATGTCTCTTTTTCCTGTGTCTTTAGTGATGCTCGAAACCTAAAATTTATTAAAAAACCTGATAACCAGTTTATGATTTGAAAAGCTTTTAAAATATCAGAACTGTTGAAAAAAGGGAAGTCAATTCTGGTGAAAGCCCGCCGTGCAATATTCGGATTAATATAAAAGGCATCATCGGAGTTTATTAGTACAAAATAATTTACACAGTAAACGATTAATTCAACTGTACTAGAATATGTATGTTCGATCTTATTGAGCATGAAATACTTGCAACTGGACAATAAGCAATTTCAGTCAAAAGTTAATTCATATGTTACAGATTAATTTTGCAATTATACAAACTAATGCTAATAAATGACCACTGCATCAACTGTCTCCCCCATCACAGAATTGCCGTTCACGTTATTGATTTCATTAGGAACATACATGTATTAGCGCTAAAAGACGTGAGACGTTCTGGCGTTTAATAGTGGACACGTTTTGGCGAATAACAATTATCGGACACGTTTGGGCAATATTGAATATAACGGACACGTTTGGGGAGAATGGACACGTTTGGGGGAATCGGACACGTTTGGGGGGATGGACACGTTTGGGAGTGTTACATATATATACCTACATGTATGGTGATGTCTGCATAGCAGGAGATGCTTACCCTGTATAATCTCGAAGTTTCGTTCTTGGTGGACGTCAGGCGATGCCGTTAGTGTTTGTTTGTTACCTTGATTAGTCTCTATTATATCGATTTACGAGATTTGAACATCGGTAAACTGCAATGTACTGTAGCCTTAATTTAAAAAAAAACAGGAAAAGATTCTCCATCATAAACAGCATATTTAGAAACATACAAATTGTTAGTAGTTTTTCTGTCTTTTCTTCCTTAAACTCCTACTTTAAGTTGATATCCATCATGTCCAAGATCCAATCGTTTTATTTGGTTCTTGGAGTTTGGTGTAAATGGTTGCACAATTTTGCAAATCTCTATTCTTTAGAGATTGATAAACCTATGTTCCTTAACTATGAACAAAGACCTGATGTAAACCTCCAGATGTTTTTGTTTTTGGGTTGTCGTTCTATAGGCATGTGCCTCTTATATCAATTTTGGTACACACTTTGAATTTTAATAAATGTTCGGGATTTGATGTGCATTCTTTTGATTAAATGTCTGTATAGTTGTACCGGATGTTCGGGATTTGATGTGCATACTTTTGATTAAATGTCTGTATAGTTTTTACGGATTTTCGGGATTTGATGTGCATACTTTTGATTAAATGTCTGTATAGTTTTTACGGATGTTCGGGGTTTGATGTGCATACTTTTGATTAATTGTCTGTATAGTTTTTACGGATGTTCGGGATTTGATGTGCATACTTTTGAAGTGTTGTTGCTCGTTTGATTGGTTTGATTTCTTGTTTTTTTTTTGTTTTTTTTTAGTGGGAGGAGATTAGTAAAGATCACAGCGCAATGATAATGACCATATTATTTTCTAAATACAGTGTGGCTAAATTTTAAATGCACATTTGACGTTTGCTCATAAAGTATAACTTTGTTAGTATAACTGGTTCACCCAAAGCCTGGTATTATCGACGAGTTTACACTGCACTGATTAAACTTCTTTCGGGACATGATAAACTTCGGTTACTTTGAGTAATACAACTATTGTAACAATAAGTTATTCCATATTCAGTCTTTCAGTCAATTTTCAGGCTTTAGAGATTTGAACATCGGTAAACTGCAATGTACTGTAGCCTTAATTTAAAAAAAAACAGGAAAAGATTCTCCATCATAAACAGCATATTTAGAAACATACAAATTGTTAGTAGTTTTTCTGTCTTTTCTTCCTTAAACTCCTACTTTAAGTTGATATCCATCATGTCCAAGATCCAATCGTTTTATTTGGTTCTTGGAGTTTGGTGTAAATGGTTGCACAATTTTGCAAATCTCTATTCTTTAGAGATTGATAAACCTATGTTCCTTAACTATGAACAAAGACCTGATGTAAACCTCCAGATGTTTTTGTTTTTGGGTTGTCGTTCTATAGGCATGTGCCTCTTATATCAATTTTGGTACACACTTTGAATTTTAATAAATTTTGACAGCAATGAATTCATTTAATGCATACAGTTTTAATAGCACCGGGGGACTGAAAAATACCACAAAAACAGGAACAGTCGGACATAAAAAGAATCGTTTTGTTAGAGTTTATCAAGTTTTGATGCAGTATATTGATCAAAAAGAAAATATCAATTTTGTATCCTTTCTTTTAAATAATAATTTGGACACATCGACGTTAGATAGTTTATCAAAAACAAAGTATTCTTCAGCGACAAAATAACTCCTGAGTTTAATGATTTATACTTTTGATTAAATGTCTGTATAGTTTTTACGGATGTTCGGGATTTGATGTGCATACTTTTGATTAAATGTCTGTATAGTTTTTACGGATGCTCGGGATTTGATGTGCATACTTTTGATTAAATGTCTGTATAGTTTTTACTGATGTTCAGGATTTGATGTGCATACTTTTGATTAAATGTCTGTATAGTTTTTACGGATGTTCGGGATTTGATGTGCATACTTTTGATTAAATGTCTGTATAGTTTTAACGGATGTTCGGGATTTGATGTGCATTCTTTTGATTAAATGTCTGTATAGTTGTACCGGATGTTCGGGATTTGATGTGCATACTTTTGATTAAATGTCTGTATAGTTTTTACGGATTTTCGGGATTTGATGTGCATACTTTTGATTAAATGTCTGTATAGTTTTTACGGATGTTCGGGGTTTGATGTGCATACTTTTGATTAATTGTCTGTATAGTTTTTACGGATGTTCGGGATTTGATGTGCATACTTTTGAAGTGTTGTTGCTCGTTTGATTGGTTTGATTTCTTGTTTTTTTTTTGTTTTTTTTTAGTGGGAGGAGATTAATAAAGATCACAGCGCAATGATAATGACCATATTATTTTCTAAATACAGTGTGGCTAAATTTTAAATGCACATTTGACGTTTGCTCATAAAGTATAACTTTGTTAGTATAACTGGTTCACCCAAAGCCTGGTATTATCGACGAGTTTACACTGCACTGATTAAACTTCTTTCGGGACATGATAAACTTCGGTTACTTTGAGTAATACAACTATTGTAACAATAAGTTATTCCATATTCAGTCTTTCAGTCAATTTTCAGGCTTATTTACTGAGGTAAATTCAGAACTGTTCACTTGCTTTTCAGACAATTCAGTATGATGTTGATGTGTATAGGTAAATAACCATTACATGACAGTCTTAACATACACTGAACAGATCTTAATTGACTACAAGCGAATTGTCTGAACTTACCGCAGTTGACAAATAAGCAAATTGACTGAAAGACTGAAAATGATATAAATATTTCATTCTTTCATAGCTGTTCAGATCAAAATGATCGTTTCAGATCAAAATTGGTTTACTAGTTAAACAGACAAACACCATGACCAAGGAGAAACAGACAAAGATACAAAGAAGCTCATAAATACTTCATTGGAAACTAATGACAGAAGAACAGAAACCCTACTAATAATCGGGTTAAACTTAGGTGTTCCAAAATGTAACAGCTCCTGATTTACTATATGCCGTGTTTCTCAGGCCAAGACAAGCTGGTAATTAGTCGCATTTGGTTATTTTAAATCGAGAACCAGGGAACACGATGAACTTAATTGATAATTTAGATAATGTCTGAAAAGTAAAAATTATATTACTCGTTGGATTGTCTTTCTTGAACGAGAAATACTTAATGTCAGTTTCAGTACAGACAAGCTAAAGATTGACGTACATTCTATGCAAATGTTAGATATTTGTCAATATATAGTGTAAAACCTAATTTGGACAAAAATATTTATAGATATATATAAGGTTTCAAAAATGTATACGTCAATTCGTCAAAACTTTAATTACGTAACATGCTCCAGTATCACAAGGCAGTGAAATCTATATAAGTACTGAAATAACTCTTATATATTAAGTGCGTCTGAACCGCATTTCTAAATTTACCTAAATTAGAATTGCTTAAAGCCAAGATGTTAACTCAGATTTACAGCTAAGGCTTTATATGCATTCGGATAGGAAAACATTTGTGTTTTGAATATATCAGCAGTTTATATCAATATTAAATTTATAGCAAATGAGCGTTTCAAGAAAATTGCATATCGACATTTTGGCATTTCAATGACAGTGCATTTACTACAAATGACAGGAAGTTTGCTTCTTGTATGTGAAGCAATTGTTGAGTACTAGGACAATTATATTCCGAGGATGAAATAGTTGTAAAATGTCATAACTGGCTTAAAATATAAGACGCTTGACGTCAGTTTCGTCTACATAAGATTCAACATTGACGCTTTAATCAGAACGATTTATTTATTCAAGTCTTGGGGAGAGAACTGCTATGTAGGAACGTCATTGTACGGTTTTACGATATAAAGTATATAAATATATTTTTTATAGATCTCTTGCTTTGGCCCGGAAATGACTCGACGGAGAAATACTTATATGAACACCTAGTAAAAACAATTGGTACTGAAATCCACATACGAAATAGACAACGACTTTTTATCATAAAAGATGTGATCGAAAATACAGAGTTGACTTATTCTACACACATATCAAGTGGAAGTTTGGCAGAAGGACTCGAATTACCAGGCAGTGACCTCGATTTAATGAATGTAATTGATGACGTAGACGTATTACAAAATGAAAGGAATATCAAATACCCAATACATTGTACTACACTAATTATGGAGACAGATATTGATCATCCTGGATTTACTAGACTTCGATTGGTAGCAAAAGAGGATGGGGAATCCATCCTTGTTCTATGTGCCGGTGAAAGATATTATCTATCAGTAAGCAGCTTTAATTGATAGTTTTAAGAAAATGTATACTAATATGCCGGTTTTTTTACACGGTCCATGTCTATCAGACGAAGACCAGACACATGATATTGCATTCTGCTTATGGAGTAAATATCTTCCTCACAACATGATTCCATGGTCTTCGACGCCAATGGCCCCCTAATTTTGTAATTGACAGGATCATCAATTACGGCTGCTTGTTAGTACCTATAGGATCTAATGCGTTATCATATAGTGACTTATTATGGAGATTGTCTTTCTCTGTGGCAGAAAAACTACTTGTACATTCCTTTAATTTCACTCAACTTTTATGTTACGGTCTTCTCAAATTAACATTAAAGCGTATCGTTAACAAAAAAGATCATGTCAGAGACTTACTGTGTTCTTACTTTCTTAAGACGTCTTTATTCTGGGTTTCAGAGGAAGTGGATATTGACACATTTCAATTACCGAACTTGTTCAAATGTTTTTTTCTCTGCATAAACAAATTAAGAGCATGGGTAAACAACTGTTATTGACCAAACTATTTTATACCTGAGCAAAATATGTTCTTAAGAAAGATCACTCCAGATAACAATAAACTCCTACTAAGTGTTATTGATAGCATAAAGTTTGATGGAATTGATGGGTTGATGAATACTATATTTCCGCTCGACAATAAACATTATCGTTTATTATGTTCAAACAGTGAACATTCATTAATTATGCTAGATTTCCTATTTTACCGGATTTGCTCGATATTGCCTCCTTCAGACATTTCACATTGGTATAAAGTACAAACATTCATTGAATCATTACTTAAGTCCGAATCATCTTCATTTATCATTGGTGTATGTAAATACAAATATGCGATAATTAGTCATTATGCAGCACAACTACTACCATCACTGACCACAACTACAACAACTGCAAAGTACAACATACACAAACTGTATCATAGTCACATGCAAGTCGGTTTGAAGACAGATGCTGTGTCTGGATGGTTGTTATATGCATCGTTTTATTATGTAACAAAACAGTACAGTGTAACACTCAGGCTATTAGATTATGTTCTATCAAAGTGTACACCTAATACTGTAGTGGTAGACCGTGTTACTAGTACAAATGAAGATTTAGGCTTTGTCAACTATGATGTAAGATATATAAATATGTATAGACAAAGTGTAAATTCTAAAATGTCATTGAATGACAGGATGAAAATAGCCGTTTTAAGCAATATCAGGTTCCTACAACACTCGTCATTAATACCAGAAGAGCTACAGCTAGAGGTGAAAGACAAGGATTTGGACATACATCCTGTCGTGTTGTCTTACTGTCTAAGATTTTTATGTTATCATCATATTGGTGATATTTTCACTAGCAAACAGGCTTTACGTGATTTACATTCAACAGTATATAACGAAAAATATGAGATTATAGTAAATGACGCTTCAAATTCATAAACTATACTTGGAGTATGCCATGAGATATACGGGGATAAAAACGCGGATTTCAGTACTATGAAAATGCTTTGCAATTTGATACTGACATTTGTCCTTCAGCAGAAGTCCGGAAAGCAAAACGTTTTGACGTTTAATATAAACTTCCTCACTGTAATGAGAAGATTTTATAGAAGCTACTATGCCCGTTTCTGACATAAATTCATTTACTTCTGCTATGGAGCTGCTCTATGCAAGGGTGTTAGTTTTATAATAAATTATAACACAGTAAAAACCAATATTGATACAATGTAGACCATACTTGATATGTACGGTTTCATACTGAAGCTAAGTTATAATATACGCAATATGTTTGTAACTGAATGAAAAAATAAGGGGGATACATTTCCTGAATGACTCCTATTAGTTGATCGGTTTATCATACTAAGAACCAATGTGTCATGTCTTTGACATATTTTTCACTAATAAGGTTGTTCATATACTTTGTCATTCCTTTATTTCACATTAAACCTAAACACTGTTAGTGTAGTTTTGTTGTTGTTGTTGATCTTTTATTGAATTGTTCCTTATTTTTAAACAAAAATAGGATTCATGAATCGTTCTCTTTTGCTTACTGAATACACCATCTGGATATCCATAATGACTGTACAACAGAACATGAATATATCAACATCGCAAATAACATTGTGGAAGAAAAAAAGAACCAGTGCTACTAAATAATGATGATAGGGATTATAGAAACACACAAAAGATATTCTAATTTGAGCCACACATCCGACTCCTCGTTCTCCATAATCAGGATACAAGGATTGAAACGTCACTTTATTTCAGCTACACATTTTACTTTTAGGCTAAGCTACATGTAACTCTTTTTAAAGCTAATTTATCGAATGCTTTATACCTGTTCATAATATTTTAAAAGTAGGATCAATGTTTGTGTTTTTTTTTGTAATTTTTTATAATAGCAAGCACAACACATAATGCACATGTCACTATTCTAACACTGTTACAAACTTAAACATATGGTTTTAAAATAACACTTTTTTATTGAAAGTTTTGCCAAAAGTATTTGTAAATATGCTTATATGATTTGCTATTTGTATTAAACTGTATATCACTATATACGATTCATTTTTGTGAGTTTCTTTTTATAACAAGTATAACGTTTATCTGATACATGACTTTGAACACAAAATATCTCTAATTTTTAGATTTTACATAGCCTATACCCACCACTTAGTACCGTGTTAGAATTTATGTTGCTTACAAAAACGTCGATTTTAATGTTTATTAAAATATGCATTCTGTGTATAATACATCATGTACATGCCCAACATATATGTGATCTACTGTTGTGCTTTTCTTTTTTTAACCTCAACAAAGTGTATTTAATACTTTTCATAATCATACAAAATAAAAGAAGCAAAGAAAACTGAATACGTTTTGCCCGTACATCAAATCATACCAACTACAAATAACTGACTATTCAGTACAAAAAAGTAAAATCACAAAAATACTAAACTCCGAGGAAAACTCCAAAAGGAAAGTCCCTAATCAAATCGCAAAATCAAAAGCTCAAACACATCAACCGAATGGACAACAACTGTCATATTCCTGACTTGGTACAATGTATAGGCATTTTCTGATGTAGAAAATGGTGGACTAAACCTGATTTTATAGCTAGCCAAACCTCTCACTTGTATGACAGTCGCATAAAATTCCAAAATTGAAAACACTCAATATAATAACTAGATGGCTTGAATTTGTTAAGGCACAACGTGTGATTGGGGAAAGAAATTTTTACGTTAAACTTCATATAAATTCAAACTGATCATATGTCTTTAAAAAAAGAATCTTACACTGTGAAGCTTCTACGACATTAACGTAAATTTTGTTGGAACAATGCGTTTCACAAAGTGATCACGGTCATTCTGCCCTCTAATGAAAACAATTACGGAAGATATAAGGGAGAAAAACATTGATCATTGGGATATACATTCATATACAAATTGAGTGTATACTAGAAAAAGTAGGAAATACCGATCAGTTTATTGTAATACTGTCTAAAACATCTGAAAGTATTGAGCCATATGGCAATAAAATAAGATAATCGGTAGTAATCAGATCAAAATATTGTAACACTGTCTACCGTATCGGGTCGTCAAGATGTTCCACTAAACATCTCAAAAGTTCATACCGCAATTCCTTCTACAGTAAAATATGGCCCTCTGAAATATTAGAATTAGATATATCCAACCAACAGTGTAAATAATATGCAAATTAAAAAATAAATCGGTAGATCTACTTCAAAACGTGCAATCACATTCTTTTCAAATTTGTATGCGCAGTTATATCAAAATTTTCGATTTTTCTACGCTTTAGACTACTACTACTCAAGGGTAATTGAAAGATTGACTACATCATCTCATGAAATGAAGCATTTTCTACAGAAGTGGGAACGTAGATCTTATTAGTTTTTAAGTGTCATGCGATTTTTACTTCGTGAAGAACCCACAACAAATACACCGAATATGAAATCGCAAATATATCTCTACTACCTTGTTCCAAGTTACTCCATGATTAGCTTTCTGTCTCCATGCTTGAGAACAAATAGATATATCAGAATCAACTTTGATAATATTGCAAGCAGGACTCTTTGTATCATCTGAATTTGTAAATTACTTTTCAATTTGCCAACGTAAACGATACGGTATTTACAGGATGAGAGGAAACATCTCCAATGCAATCATCCACTTCATGGAGAGCCAGACAGAAAGCTGATCATGGAGTAACTTGGAATAAGGTAGTAGAGATATATTTGTTGTTGGGAAAATAGTTTCAGTAAGCAGAATGTTACTAGCAATGCATCTTTTATCTACAAAGTGACTTTGAAAAAAGGGGGTATGGTTGTCATTATTGCTGAAACTAATAGTTTCTGAGCTACATGCATGGGATAACAAATAAAATGTCATGATATGCTTGCTATTACAAAATATAAGTTTAAATGGAAGTGATTATCAATATACAAATGTATATACAAACCTTATTTACAACTCAAATTGAAAGTTCATATGTATATGTATACATGTATGTAATAAGTTATTTGTTTCAGTGTATAATTGATTTTCTTTGAAATAAGTCCTAACATGCCCAAGGAACATTTTTCTATGGAACATTGATCAGTAAGAATCTTATATGAAATGTTTACCATTTATTTTTGTAATTTAACCTAAATATATACAAAAAAGTCAACATGTTAAGTTGATATTACATTTGCTTCAATCGTGTTTTCACGTTTTTGTTCGAGTATGACCATGTTTTTTTGTGTTTTTTTTTATCTTCGAGGAATGTAATTAAACATGTCAACTTAAAACATGTACGTAACCAAAAATACTTTCCTCGAATTCTGGTCAAACGTGAAACCAAAGAATAAAGTTAATATACAAGGTTACTTTACTAACTGTTAGTTACTGAAGCGTTTAGGGCCATCCTTTTTTTTCAAATTATCGACTTTAATCTTGGAATTATCAACTCTAATTATGGAATTTCCAACTTTAATCTTGGAATTTCCAACTTTAATCTTGGAATTTCCAACTTTAATCTTCGAAATATCAACATTTAACTTAGAATTATCAGATTCTTTAAAAAAAAAGGACGGCCCTAATTTGCTTCCGTAGTTAGTACACCTATTATTAGCAAAACAGTATTGGGAGTTATAAAAGTTATATATAGTCATGATATTTTTTATTTCAAACCTCTTTATTTATGCATAAACTAAGGAAATGCATTCATAGAATATTCATATTTGTATATTTACACACACCTTGCAAAAGTACTATTTATATAATGAAAAAGAACATTTCAATGGCACTAGATTTCAAATTCATGTTCACCGATTTGACTCAAATTCTCATATTTGATTTATAACCCTGTAAAACATTTATCCACATTATAAAAAGTTTAGAATAAACAATTTACAGTGCATAGCTCAATAAAATGTAGCTTCTCGTTTTGTGTGTATTTTAGTCTTGACGCCATCTAATTAACTATCGAGTTGACCTCCGAAGACCTCCGATGGTCATATAAGCGATATAAACATAAATATAGATATAAATAGAAAGCGGACAATGTGCTATTGGATTTTTCTAGGTCTGTTTAATTTCATATTATAGATTATAAATATGTGTTAATCATTGTTTTTACCTGTATAAGAATGATTTTTTGTGGATCGAATCAGTCAATCAAATGATTTACCTGTGTTTCAATTTCAATGTTGACATTCTTTTCCTTTAAATAACCGAACACGCACAATGCATGCATTACCCATTTCTAGCTAAGGAGTTAAATTGAAGTTCACATGAATATGGATTCAATGAGGTCGAATTATTCACTTGCAAGTGAATAATTCATTATCAATGTTTCTTAGCTTAATTTGACAAACTGGAACTATTCTGACTGCTAAAAGCGAATTATTATTTCACTATTTCACTTTCATTAATGATTGAACAAAAAAAATTATACTTTAGATTTTTTATATATCTCGTAGCTATTGACCCTTTAAAAAATAAACAAATGTTTCTGTGCCCAGATTTTGTTCGGGAAGAGTACAGGTTGTTTTTGTCGAGACGCATACGAGTGTAACAAAATGCCAAAAGAGCATTTTTTTTTGACAAGCAATTTTAATCAATAAAGTCACAGAAGGTTTAGTGTTCGGTTGGGATCGTGCTTTTTTGAGTGAAGTCATCAAGTTATTTTAGTATGACTAGCTTTAACTTGTTAATATGCTTCAAAATATAAAACAGACATCGTATTTTTTAAAACATAACAAAGAGACTTCAAATGACCACGATAAATATAAACATTTCTTG